AGATTGCTTTTGAGGGCGGAGTGGTTTCGAAGTCCTGCTCAGCAACCAGCTCAGCTTTCGTCGTGGAACTGCCACAACTGTCGCGATCAATCGCAACTTTCTATCCTATGTTGTGGATTCTTGTCATGTTAAATGGAAGATTTGCTCTGCTGTAATGTTGTCCCGTATATAAGCGCTGTGAGATTTCACTTAGCTGCTTTTTGCTCTGTCATAAGGATAAAGTGGTGAGTTTAAGAAAGTGTTGCTGAACCACCGAGAACAGTTTGGTGCATCGTGCCAAATACTGTTCTACTAACTACTGAGAAAAATCTGGTTCGTGAACCAGTAGATCAGGAAATCTGATCCAAGTGGCCCGCTGAGGTCCCCATCGAAAAGAAACGATGGAATCCATCATATACGGAAAACCAATATCAAATAGCGTAACTCACGCTCAAATCGCTTGTAGCAAGTTTCAAAGAGTACACAAAACCGCTGCAACTTGCACAAGACAGCGAAGAGCAATACGAACAAACACTGCAGGCCATAGATCTCATCAAGGGCAGTATCTCGCAGATCAGTTCTACAAGAACGACTTGCAGTCCCTAGTCGATAAAATGAAAAGTGACTACGACACCGTCAAAAGCAAGGATGACAAGAAAAACATCCTGCAGGAACTCGAAAAAATCGAAGAAGAGGTTAAATACACGGCAGTGTTGAATGAAGCGACGGAAATAAACCTGATGCTGAACACCAGACTCAATGAAGCTTGCAGCAATGAGCGAAGACTTGCTCGAAAACTGGGAAAGTTCTTGCAGTCGCAGGGACCCCTAGGAAATAATGATGGACTGTCAGTGAAGCTTGAGAATGCCACAATCGAGCCCAGTTCGCTCGAGACTAGACAACTCTCGGGCATGATTCCACCTCCAAAAATAAATCTTCCAAAATTCTATGGAAATGAACAAGAATTTCCTGAGTTCTGGGCGGCATTCGAAACCTTAGTTCACAACAATCGAACGTTGACGGTGATCGAAAAAATGCTGTTGTTGAAGGAAAGCCTTCGTGGCAAATCAGACAGAGCGATAAAGGGGATACAATTGCTACCCCAAAACTATCAGTGGATGATAGAAACACTCACGAAAAAATATGGGAATAAACCAGCTAATCGCTCCCGTATAGTCCAAAGGTTACGTGACCTACCACCGGCAGACAGAAGAGCCGAAAGCAATGAAGTGACTTATGACAAGATATGCGAACTTCTGAATCAAATGCTATCCGCCGGACAGGACATTCGGGCCACAAAAGACGCTATGTGGAGTGAAGCGATCTTGAGCAAATTCCACAGAGACATCGTGGAACCTGTACTTGTCAAAATGCAGAATAAAGATGACACAACGGTTGAGGGAATCATGCAAATGATCGAAGCGGAAATATCAGCGAAGTCCTATATTCAATCAAGAACTACTAGGCTGACAGATCCCAGAAAGAGGTTGTCAGACATCAGAAGCCCGCGACCTCGAAAATGCGCAATTTGCGAGAAAGACGACCATTTTGCTTGGCAGTGCACATTACCGCTTGCAGTCGCAGAAAAGCGTAAAATAATGCTGGATAAGCGGCTTTGTTGGAAATGTTATTCGGATCAACACTCTAGTAAAGAATGCGCCAGGCAAAACTGCACACTGTGTGGTAAGCTTCACCACAACAAACTGTGCTTTTCTAGTGAGAACATGAACGTGAGTCACTTTCGCGTGCCCCAAAGCAGCGCAGGGCTCGGCAGCGAATCGAAAGCAACCAGTCAAACGATACGCGGTATGAATCAACAACCGCAACAAAAAAACAACAACAACCACGCAAAGATCGAAGTGCCGAGTGAATCAAATCGGCAGAGACCGACGTTGCGGAGGAATCACAACACAAACCTCCACATCGAAAGAAATCAGATCGAAGAAGAACCAACGGAAGATGACGTCATAACTAGCGAGGTTCATAGTACGGTTAATCACACCGCAATACGAAGAACTCCGGATACGCAAGGTCGATACCAGATCATACTCATGACTGCCGAGGGAAACATATGGAATCACAACACTGAAAAGTTTGAGAAGGCCGTTTTCCTTTTCGACACAGGGGCGCAGAAAACCATCATTGAGGAAGAATTTGCTCTCAAACTAGGGCTTCCAAGACTGAAAACCGAAACGTGCCTCATGTCGGGAATCGGCGGCAACACTGAACTGTTTGAAAGCAGTATAGTGAGTGTCAAAATAGGCTCCGCATATGGAAAAGACCTGGATATATTGATACAAACTAAACCTGTTTTGACAAAAGGATTCCCTTCAGTCAAGCTCAGCATGACAGATCAGACGTTTCTTCAGGATCACAATATCCTTGTGTGTAATCCAAGCATCCGTGGCGAGAATCAGCTCCCACAAATTCTTGTCGGTTTGGACCACTACTATGATTTCGTACTTGAAAAAGGGGAAGTTCTTCGAATTCCATCCGGACTTCGGCTAGCACGTACTATCTTTGGTCCAACTTTATATGGCCGCGGTTCTTTGGAAAATGACGACTTCGACATAAGCGCGTCGACGATCACGCACTGCATTACAGCAGTAACTTCGACTGAGCCGGAAAACGAAATGCTGACCAAGTTGTTCGAGTTGGAGGGACTTGGGATCTCCCCTGAGAATGACGTGGAGCACAAAGACTTACTATTGTATTTCAACAAATACTCAAAGCAGATGTCTTTCGATGGGGGTTTCGTTACGGCTCCCTTCCCGCTAAAGAGCAACGTAGTCGACTTAGCGGATAACTATTCATCAGCCATCAAACGATTGGCAAGTTTACACCGTCAGCTCGAAGATCACCCGGAGCAAAAGGAATGGTACGTGAAAATCCTAAACCAATACGAGGCCGATGATATCATTGAGCACGCACACGAGAACATTCCGAATTCCGTAGGGCGATACTACATGCCCCACTCTGGGGTTTGGCGTCCCCACAAACCGAAGCCTCTGCGAATCGTTTTTGATGCGTCTTCGAAACGAAAGGGTGAGCTTTCGCTGAATGATGTCATGCACAAAGGTGAATCTCTTGTTAGAAAGATTCACGACATATTGGTCGCCAGCAGGATTGGTGAAATCATCCTAACCTGTGATATCGAAGCTGCGTTTACTCAGATAAGGCTTCAAAATACACACAAAGACTTATGCCGCTTCCTTTGGCTAAAGGACCCGAACAAGCCACCTTATCGGGAAAACATAGTAGAATACCGCTTCAAGAGGATTCCCTTTGGCGCGAAGCCTTCACCTAGCATATTGAATATGTCCCTACTTACATTCTTGCAGTCGAGAAATACTCCCCTTTCAAAAGAGATCCTCGATAATTTATATGTCGATAATATTCTTCTCAGTGCCTCCACTCCATCAGAGGCTATCGCCAAATACAAAGAGAGTAAGAATCTCCTCTCCGAAATCGGAATGAATCTCAGAGAGTACTCTTCAAACCACGCAGAAGTGAATGACGCTATACCACCAGAGGATCGTGCTCCGAGCGGACTTTCCACCATTCTTGGAGTGAAATACAACAAAGAGTCCGACCAGTTAGGCATACGCTTAACATTTGTGAAAAAAGACAAGCCAACAAAAAGGGACATAGTCAGCCAACTCAATTCAATATACGACCCCATTGGTATAGTCGGACCGATAACGATAAGATTGAAACAGCTCATGAGAGAAGTATACGAAAGCGGCGTAGGCTGGAAAGAACCAATACCCGAGAAGATCGCGACCAGGTGGAATGCAACGTGCCAAGAGTGTGAAAACATCTCAGTGTCTCTTCCACGCTACATAGGAATACCTAGCAGTCTCTTAACTGATATGCTAACACTCTGGGTCTTTGCTGACGCAAGCGCGAAAGCCTTAGCAACTTGCGCTTACCTACGTCACGAAGAAACGATGACTGTGTCGACGTTGATAAGCGGGAAAACACGGCTTACCCCGAAAAAGACAAAGCAAACCATACCGAAGCTGGAAGTTGTGGCCATCTTGATGGCAACACGGCTCGCAAAAAATATCGCCACGGCCATCAGGATCAAGCTCAGTGAGATCAATGTGCTCAGTGATAGTGAGATTGCACTATCTTGGATTAGCTCCAGTCGGAAATTGCCCATCTTCGTTGAAAATCAGAGGCAACACATTCTCAAAATAAAGGACGCTCTCGAATCCGCTGGAACATCAGTTAACTTCTTTCACGTCCGCACAGAGGATAACCCTGCCGATGCCGGGACAAGAGGAGTTGATGCGTCGCTTATCGCTGACCTACCATGGGTGCGCGGTCCACAGTGGCTTGGAGATGAAAAAACGCCTCCACGCTTGAGGAAACTATCCGATATTCGTGAATACAACGACGTGGAAGAGGACACTGAAAAGCTAGAAGATCGCGCAATAAATGTGCAAATAACGAGTGCCAGTAGCGGAAGTAATCCCGGGTTGATATCACTTGCACGATTCTCACGCTTAGACAAGGCGTTAAGAACTGTTGCGCGTGTAGGCAAAATTCTCCACACGTGGGTGAACAAAGTGAATGATAGAAGGGCCAGTCAGAGCAAATTGAGCCTACAAAAATTGAACCAGTTCGACGCCGGCTATGAGATCACGGTGAAGGATATGAAACTGAGTGAAACTCTTTTACTCCGCGAAGCGCACGCTTCCATTCCCCTGGACACGCTGAAAAAGAGGTTTCCGCAAAAGAAAATCTTCCGCGACGAAAACGGAGTTATCAGAAATGCATCTCGCATTCAGAATGCACCTGTTTCCTACGATGTGAAGAATCCAATCTATTTGGAAAAAAATTTAGACATCACACGGCTCATCGTGACCGATATCCATTTGAAAAATGGCCATTCCGGAAAGGACCACACGCTATGCCTGGCGCGGCAACGCTTTTGGATACCGCGACCTTGCGGCGTGTTCAAAAAATATCTGAAGAATTGCGTCGTATGCAGAAAAGCTCAGGGACTCCCGTTTGGAGCGCCAGAAATGCCTCCATTACCTGAGGACAGGTCTGTGCTAACGAAACCCTTCGAAAAAGTTGGGTGCGATTTCATGGGACCTTTTTACTCCACGAAGAATGAAAAATATTACGTTTCACTCTATACGTGTCTCACGACGAGAGCGGTGCATCTCGAAGTGGTGGAGGATATGTCCACAGGAGCGTTCTTGAATTCTTTTATAAGGTTCATATCCAGAAGAGGAGTTCCAACTATCATTCGAACAGACTGCGGCTCGAATTTCAAACTTGGCCAACAAGTTATTGAAAAGATGTCTACACCAAACGAGAGCACGGGCGATTCAGTGATGTCCTATAGCGCTAATCGTGGCATACAATGGATCTTCAATCCACCAGGTGCACCCTGGATGGGTGGTGCTTGGGAGCGACTTGTAGGGACAGTCAAACGAGCCTTCATCAAATCTGTCGGAAAGAAGAGGCTGTCACACGCACAGCTCTACACCATTATGACGCAAATTGAGGCCATAATCAACACCAGGCCCCTTACGGCTATAAGCACTGCAAATGTAGATGATATCCCCTTGCGGCCAATTGATTTCTTGCAGAACAGTCTGAAGTACAGTTTAGCTGAGGTGGACCCGGAGGAGAATGAAGATCCAACATTCGATCCCAACCTTATTCAAACAGCTGCCCAAGCCAAACAGGCTATACAGCATGCAGAACAAGTCAGCTCGAAGTTTTGGGATCGGTGGTACACAGAGTATCTGACAGCTCTGCGTGAAATGCAGGCTATAACCAGAAAACAACCTAGACATATGAAACTAAGGGAACCGCAAGTCGACGAAATTGTCTTGATAGAACAAGAAAATCTACCCAGAGGCTCCTGGTGCTATGGCAAAGTTATCGACCTTTTAAGAAGCAGCGATGGTCTCGTAAGATCTGTTAAATTGCTGATGCCCAACAAGCATGTCTGGGTACGACCTCTCAACAAAGTCTACCCGCTGGAGATCTCAGCAAGAGGCGGCACGGTCCTAGACGGTGTCGCACCGAAGGACGACCATATTTCACAAAGATTTCAGGAGATCGAAAGCAGTCAACCACGGTCGGCAAAACTGAAAGCGAAAAAGGCTATTCAGGAAATCTCGAAAAGAAGAGAAGAATCCACCACATATTTACTCCCTATACTATTCACGCACATCAATGCGTTGATGGTCACCATGATTACTGCTATATTTCTAGCGCCATCAGTGAATGCCTTGCCGAACATCTCATGCCAAGGTAATGCTCTTCGAGTAACCCCACCAAACGGCACTTTTCAGCTCTGTATACGGTCAACTTGCAAATATTTCGCCAACGACTCGCCAAATCTCACGTTCCAGCTGCCAGCAACAGCAAGAAATGAAGTAATAGCTGTATCAATGCGACATTTTGATGGCGACAAATATACAGAGTTGCAAGAGAACTGCGGTCTACCTAATGTATGTGACGTATCACAAACCTTCATGTCCAGACATCTGGTTGGTAACCCTCATTGTTGGCCAACAGGGGCGATTATATCCGTAGGGATGCTCCTTTACCTGATCATATCTGCAATCGCGCTCACCGTAAAATTCATGCTGTCGCGCGAAGGTTCCCCATCTGGCACAGTGGACACGTCATCTGACGCAGGCAAAGACAACAAAAGTTCGCAGCCTACAGCTGCCACTCGTAGGAGCGATCAAATGATAAACATCCACCTCCAGTCGTTCCGGCCGCTACCGCTTTCTCGCACTAGCGTCAGCACTGCGATTGTGATGATTGTTTGCGCCGCACTACTGCATGAAGTGGAAACATGTCAACTTGGGTTTACCAGGCACAATGCAGAGGTCACGTGTACATCTCAAAACGCCTGCGCAATCAAATTTCGCCGAGAGATTTTGTTTGACGAGATTCACAATATGGCATGCGTTGATATCTTACACGCAAATAAATCAGTAGGTGTCCTTCGCATAGAAAAATTGCCATTGGAACTGGAATGTGCAAAACGTACTCAGTTCTACACACGTGACACCGAGCACAGAGTATACAGCGCTACTCGATGTGCACGAATGGGTTCTTGTAAGCAAGACGCATGCTCTCTGATCAAGCCCGATAGCATGATCCAAGAATTTGTGAATGCCTCTCACTACCCTGGGTACACAGGTTGTGAGCCTTCATGTGGAGGATTTATATGCGGATGCTTATTACCGCTTCCGTCGTGTTCGTTTTATCGAATAGCCCACGTGCCCAAAACCAGCCATATCTACGAAATTGCTACGTGCATGGAATGGAAGCCTCTGATACGAGTTAAAGTTCAACTCAACCTTCATGACATGGCCGTTAACAAAAGGGTAACCCTCCGACCTTACGTTACCGAGAAAGTTGGTGATACCTCATTCACCGTGATATCCTTGTCGGCGCCGTCAAGCCCGCTATTGAAAAGCAGATTCGCAATATCTGAGCATGAAGGCCTGATTGTTCCAGAGGCTGATACCATGCCTGTCGAATGTAAGACATTGAAAGAGGCCAATGACGATTTCCACCGCTGTCAGAGCAAAGTGGTTTGCCAGTGTGACGCAGATCCAGCTCCCGCACGGTGCTACTGTTCACACAGCACCATCAGCTCTATTAGGAGCGTTATTTCGAACGTCCTTCCAGTGTCAAGCCCATTCCTGGAAGTGGTGAAAAGGAAGACGTCAATAATCGCTTACTCTCGAAGAGGAGAAATGACATTGGTGATAGAATCAAAGTACATGAAAGACAGCGCAGAGTACATCATCAAACAGGACTGTAACATCACCTTGACAAAACTAACGGGGTGCTATAACTGTCAAGAAGGCGCCAACCTAATTGCCTTTTGCACAACAGCAACACACACATGGAGTATCATTCAATGCGAGACCCATGTTTTCGCCATCGAATGTGACTCGTCTGGAAGAGAAAACACACTTCTTTTGGACTTCCAGCAAGCGATTATAAAGCAAAGCTGCTTCGCAGAATGCAACAATCGCACTGCCCATATGATCCTGGAAGGTTCTCTCGAATACCTTCCACACATGAGTGATGAAGACATTTTCGTTTCTCACATAACGACATGGAATACAACCAAATGGTTTCGAGATTGGCAAATGATTGACTTTGGCCCGATGCTGAGGATGATAAAAAACCACTGGAAAGCATCCCTAGTCACCATTGGAGCAGTAGCTACGTTTTGTACGGTAACCTACCTTTTTGGGCCTATGGTTGTAGTACTCATTCTCCAAATGGGCATGAAAGTTTTGAAAAGTTGCTTCAAGCTTGTTGTTTTACTCACTAGCGCTGCTTTTAAGAATATCAGAAAGCTCACGAGGCAGTGAACCACGAGAAAATGAAACCTGTCTGAAAAAAAAACCTTAGAACCTCTACCCTTGGTGATTCTCTCCAGCTATAATTCCAATAGTCGTACAGTAGCTAGCATCTTCGCTACCCTCAAGATCCAACATTACAATAGAATACGACAACAAATCGCTTTGCCATACTTAAGCCTCATGAGAACGGCCGATTCGCACTTTTCATTTCTGCCCTTGACGCTGCAAATATGGATGAAGTCGATGTCGCCATACACATAGAGCCGCTACGAGACGCTCTCAAAGAGCTGAAGGAGCAGCTCACTATGTTTGTGATGTCAGTCGATGCGAAGATGGAAGCTTTGGTAGACCTAGTCAACCGTCACAACAACGTCGTCAACCAAAAACTGGATTTGATCATGGAAAGGACAAAGCCGCACTCAAGTTGCGTTTTCTGTTCCATTGAAGACAATCGCGACAATCACCCAACAGGACGCTGTTGTCGTTTCCCGGACGCGGTCTCTCGCGCAATCCAAGTGACCAACTTGCGTTTGTGCAATCGATGCTTACAGCCAAAACACAATGAAGATTGCGGCATTCTGTGTACTTTCTGCGGGAAAGAGCACAATGTACTCATCTGTCCTGGTAAAGCTTCCCTTGGAACGTCTTCATATAAAAGAAGAAAGTTCTGAGCTTTCTTCGCGGCGGGGAGCGTGCGCTAGTTACGTCAGTAATCAGCGCAATTCTCCATCGTCGCCCCTCTACACCCCCCCCCCCACCACGTCTTCGCCATTGTCAACATTCACAGCGATTCATCGACACGACTGTATTCGTTCGCCCGTATTGTCTGCCTGCTGGTCCCGCTGTCGGCGTCGGCTTTATTCTTATCGATCTGCCGCCGTGTCGTCAGCCCGACTTCGTCCGACGTTCCGGTGAAGAATCGGCCTTATTCGCCTCTATTCAGTTCGTCAGTTCAATTCGTCGTCTATTATTCTGTGCAACAGCTGCTCTCTGCGGTTCTGGCTGATCATCGTATAAATGGCCAACGTTTACGTGAATGGAAGGAGCTGGTCGTCAGGGAGCCAGGCGCACGATCGTCCTGATTGCTGTCGTCGCCCGTACAACAACGACAACGTCTGGTAGATTCATTTCATTTGTATTCGGTTTTTGTAGTTCAATTTAGTTCATTCGATGTTGTGGCTCTATGCTCTATTTTATGATGGGAGATTCAATGGTATTGCTAGTATGTAATTGTGCTTTGATTATGATGATTTGATGATTTGATCATGGTTTGAGCTGTTGCCTTTCCGGGCGCAGTGTCGCGATCAATCGCGACTTTCTATCCTATGTTGTGGATTCTTGTCATGTTAAATGGAAGATTTGCTCTGCTGTAATGTTGTCCCGTATATAAGCGCTGTGAGATTTCACTTAGCTGCTTTTTGCTCTGTCATAAGGATAAAGTGGTGAGTTTAAGAAAGTGTTGCTGAACCACCGAGAACAGTTTGGTGCATCGTGCCAAATACTGTTCTACTAACTACTGAGGAAAATCTGGTTCGTGAACCAGTAGATCAGGAATCTGATCCAAGTGGCCCGCTGAGGTCCCCATCGGAAAGAAAC